GCACATTTCTAAAGCATTTGGCCACGATGTGTTGAAGGGAAGAGGCTTCCAGCCGGGAAGATTTAGGGGAGTAGTGTCCTCACTGTCTGAGGAATATTCGTAGTAGCAAGTTGAAATGATTTTAGGAGGGGATTCGCAGGAACCTTGAAGGAAAAATACAAAGTCAGAACTTAAAACCTTAAGCTTCTATCAATGATGTTACAGTGAAAAGAAAATAAACAAACTGATTCTTTAAGATTTATAACTCAAAATCGATGTCCTATTGAAAAATCCAGTGATTTCTAAGGTGTGTAAATAAGAAGATTTTCTTTCGAATAGTTTTTAGCACACCGGGAAGTGAGCAACAGTGTGATCATCAAAGGTGAAAACTGACTTTAATAAGAAGCAAATACGCTTATTAGACGTGGGTATACCACATCAGTTCAAAATAGGGCTCTCTATGCATTTCCTATAATTTATGAGTGTCGTTGGTCTATGCACTTTGCAACAAGAGCCTTCTTCGAAATTTATTCTGTGCATTAAAAAAGAAAAAGAAAGAAGATCTCAATTGCGTACCTCTTTTAACTCTGAGCTGTCGCAACCAGGGCATTCCTACCAGTATGGACATTTTGTTTTCGATGTACACGTCGTTTTTCTCTTCAAGTCCGTTATACCAAACCTGATTATAAATGTTCGATAGAAATTCATTCCTTAACCATGCCTCAAATCTGTGTACATCATATACCTAAAATAGAAAAAAAATGACTCTGAAAGCTGTTGACATTATTATCTGATGAGGATGATATGTTTAAATAAAAAAAAACTCAATAGTTTAACAAAAGAAAAGGCAGATCCTAATACAGGACTGTGCAAAAGTAATACCAGCGATTATTGTCGTTTATCGCGATAATCGCGAGATATCGGCGATATTTGAGCGATATTTCCGTGGAAACGATATATCGGCAATATATCGCAGGGCTATTGTTCTAACAACTGCGAGATATCGCCGATATATCGTTGAGCTCCTCACGAATTATCGTTTCCCTTAGCGATATATCGTTTGAGCTCAGCGTTATGTCGCTACCACCTAACGATATCTCGTTTAAACTAAGCGACATATCGTTGCAGCTTAGCGATATATCGTTTGCGTCGGTAAGATATCGCTATGGCTAAGTGTATGATCGGTGAGGCAACATTGCGCCGCTCGGCGAATTTTTCATCAAACTGATACTGTCTGAGTGGGTAGGAAAGTAAACCTAGTGTATCATTCTTTTCGAAGTCTGTTTCATCAGCTTGAAAAAGGCTACATACAGAGTCGGCTATGGTCGAAGTTTGCCACACGTTCGCTGCACATCAGTTAAGCAAGTTCGCTACTACACAAAACAAAACAAATTATAAGAAATACTATATTCATTATGATACTATCGAACAAACGAGAATAGTGAGAGCGAGAAAAAGACAGCTTGTGAAAACGGTACTCAGGGAGGGTGCTAAGCTTACTTTTTTTAACGCATTGCGATGTGTTATTGCATCCCCATGGAAACCAACCTGTGTTTGCATATAATGTACCCGCGGGACACTACCGTTGACAGTCAGTTTTAGCGTAATCATGCCGGTGGTTACTTCATATACGAGAAAAAGAATTGCTTGTCTTCATAAGAAAGAATTTTATGACGTACAAGTATTGAAAGCCTTGAGACTCGAAAATCTACAAGGAAGCCTAGCAAGTGTCACCAGGATCATCAACAAAATACAGAAAACTGGATCCACTGAAAACCGCCCTCGATCAGGAAGCCCGATAAAGCTTCCAGCAGATGCGAAAGTTCTTATTGAAAAGCAAATGCGTACAAACGACGAGGCAACAAGCATTAAGATTAAAAAACAACTGGCCAATCGTTGTGAACTCCTCAACTGTGCGAAGATCGCGAGCCAAACAGGGATGGATACTGCAGCGCACCCATTACTGTCAACTGATAAGAGTAGCTAATAAGGTGAAAAGACTAGAGTATGCACAATAAATCCTGGATTCCGGTGATACATTCCATAATTTTGTATTCTCTGATAAATGCTCAGTCACGCTGGAAATATGCAGACGTACATGCTACCGAAAGGTCGACGAGCCATTGAAAAGAAAACCGAAGCCTAAACATCCACTTAAAGTACACGTATGGGCAGAAATCAGCCGAAAGGGAGTTACTAAAGTGTGTATATTGGATGGTATAATGAATGCAGAACTGTACTGCCGTATTCTGGAGACAACCCTTCTACCATTCATCAATC